CTGTCACACCTGCAAACCAGGTGTGTCAAACGAACGTAAGGCTATTTGATTTGGATCAACGTAGATGGGGCATAAACAAAAAAGAAGGGACAAGGGAGAGTGAGAAGTATGTGATGATGTCTTTTGTGTGTGTACGTACATGTTCGATTCTTTTCGTAGTTGTGCGAGAAACAACTATTACGAACATAATAATCAAGCCAGACTTTTTGACTTTCAATTTTGTAACAAGCTCAAATTAAACGAGAAGAAAATTGAAATTTTCTGCTGATTCAACGGTACAATTTGAACCCTGTTGAATCAGCAGAAAATTTTCAACCAATCAGAGACCTCGAGGCTCATTACACATCCTTTGAACTTCAAAGGATGTGTACTGAGCCTCAAGGTTTCTGATTGGCTGGGAGACTTGTTTTATCTGCACGTCTCGCACTCTCACAGCCAACGAACAGGTGCGTTCTAGCAAATACACACACGCGGGGCCGGAGCCGTCTGGAGACGCTCAGTGTTTGGTGGCAGAAAACATCAGAGCAGCAGAAACCCCTTGGAAAGATAAACTTGTTTGTAGACAAAATAGGAAGAACAAGTTTGGCCAGGCTCCACAGGAACTGTGTTTCCCACTGTCTGGGCTTGCAGTCAGCCTTGGAAACAAGGGTAAGGGGCACAGTGGGAGCAGATAAATTTGGCAGGAAAGCTTTAAACACTGACACACTACAGAGTTTAAACTGTAATTTCTAACACAAAAGAATTGGAGTTAACCAGATTTTTGACTGTACAACTGCAGTCTTTACAACTTACGATCCACTGCTCACCGTGTTACGTGTGTCATCTGCAAAACATGACGTCACGAAAGCGGTGGATTGCTCATTCCTAATGACAAAGACTGGAGTTGTACAGTCGAAAAGTCCAATTCTTTGTGTTGGAAATTACAGTTAAAACTTACGACATAATGACGCCTACCAACACAGATGAACTTTCAAGACAACTTTTCAGACATTCTTCCTCTATAAATCCTAAAAAACTATTTGACTCAGTGAGGAGTAAGCTTTTCTGTGAAGGTAAATAAGTGGCAGAATCCTGCATTAGCAAGGCTTCCTCTATGATTTTGGTCATCTTGAAAATGTCTGACTGATTTAATTCAACCTAGTAACACATATCTTTGATAGGAAATGGGGAAGGTCAGTCCTTGGCACAAGCCTTCCCTGACACAGAAAGTTAAGCAGTGGAAAATATGCCTTGTCCTGAATCATATGTATCAGGTTACAACAAATGACATGGTATGAAAGTCTGGAATGACAAGGTAGAACTGGACATAAATCATCTGCATTCTTGTCCTAAGCTTTCCCACAGGCCACACACAAACGACGTGATACACTATTTTGCTAAAAAATGTTAAAAGGGGGCCCGCATGCCCTTTTCCGTAGAGCGTAATCGGCCGTTTTAATTCTACGTTTAGCGCAGACGGACCGCTCTAATTAAACGTAGAGCGTAATTGGCGCATTTTGCGTAGTGCGTATTCGCTGTTTTAATTCTACGTAATGCGTTGTAGCCACTTGGAATTTATCGTAAAGCTTAATCCAGAGGTTTCCAGAATTCAACGTAATACGTAGCCGGCTCTCAACGGTATAGAGCGTTGTCAGGAACCCCCCCATGCAGGCCCCTTTAAAAGACAGAACAGTATGGCTCTATAAGAAATACCTATCCACTTTCAGTGACTTGCAAACCAGATGACCAATTAGCAATACAAGATGATGATGTGTGATATAAGACAATGAAGGGTGTCCAGGCATGACATGTTCTCTGAGATGCTTCACTTCAATTGATAATTAATGATGGCAAGTGCTGACAGTACAAGAGGTCACTTTTTTTCTCCAACTTCAAGTTTTAAAAAAGTACCTTCTTTGAGAAGATACCATTAGGGCTAATGGTACATCTCTAGTTCCACTTGCACAAACATAAATAAATTTGCTGAGAATATTGTTTATTTTCCCACTCTTGCAAAAAATGCTATTTTTCTTTGGACTGTTTCTACTGAAAGGTATTATCAGTTTTTATGTCACCCGGGCCCTAACCTCTCCGATGTTACGTCAATAAACAGATAGTGTCAGCCCAGTCTGGTGCACATCTCAGCGTAAACAACACTGCAGGTTACATACTTGCACCTGCAGTTTAAGACTACATGTAATATAAACTACAGCGATTGTACATACAAACAGCCCTAACCACCTACCACAGAGAAACTCACATCAACCAGAGAGATTTTGGACACAACCCACAAGAAACCTAGTCCACCACAACCAGATACCTTGGGTGTTTGACTTGAGAAGAGAAGACGTCTTCTCTGTCAGCGGTCTTCCTTCAAGAAGGATGAAGTCGGGATAAGAAAAATAAATCTGGATGACCAAGATGGGACAGTCTGTGTAAATGGAGACAGGATTGCGGCGCTGGTGTCTGTCAGCGATGGTGTAGCTTTAAAAGTCTGAAGTAGGTGAATTTCGTAACTCAAAGTGTAATAAAGTAGACTAACTGATATAATAAATATAATATTACCCTTACCATTGTGTCCTTGCCTTGAAAGACTCAAACTCCCTTGGAACCGAATGTTACAGTGTTACCCATTTGCCTCAGCACCCCAAAGGCAAAATTTATGTCCGAAATGGCCTAGCCTAGACTTGGTACCGAAGGCATGCGACCAGTGTGTCAGTGATGGCAGCTGTAGTGCCATTTCAGTTTGCCCTTTTATAACAGCATCACAGTCACGTCTTGCAGGCTATGTGCACCACACTGGTAGCCACATCCTGCAATTTCCCTCTTCTGGCCTTTACGCCATATAGACGATTTGGAGAGCTGGAACTAAACGGCTTGTAATGTTTTTAAAATACAGAATTGTGTTGATACTTTGCTGTGTCCACATCAACAAGACAAATAAGAAGATTGTCAGAATCAACATATCCATAGAAAAGAGCAATAAAAGTCTCACATTCAATTTATATTTTAGTATCAGCCCTTTTCTGGTAGCCTTGCAGTTTTAGAAACAATGTTTTTACAATACGGAATTGTGTTGATACTTTACTGTCCACATCAACGAGACAAATAAGAAGATTGTCAAACTCAAAATATCCATAGAAAAGTCTCACATTCAATTCATATTTTAGTAATAGCCCTTTCTGGTAGCCTTGCAGTTTTAGAAATGATTAACAGAAAGTACCCCCAACAGGTGCATGCGGCTGGGGACTGGGAACAAGAGTCCGTACTGTTGTGTACAACAAATCCAGAACCAGCCTGGCTGAGCCGCAGCTAACTTCAGGTCAAGTTCCTGACAGAAATTGATGGCAAAAGGCCGCAGCCCTGCTACAGGTCAGTCTCCCTGCAGCTGGGACCAGACACTGCGTGAAATATAAAACACTTCTGGTGCACTCTTGCACAGCCCTTGACTCCTTACCTGCCAGCTTCTGCAAGCAATTTGTGACTGAGAAATTGCAATAACACAGCTCCTGATGGGATGTGTGTCCCAGGGAAATTCCTTTCCTCTATCAAGACATTGCTGCCTGTGCAGTTAAGTTTGTGGGAAAGAAGAGCGAATCTCGCCACTCTATATGAGAAACACTTGGCCCTACCTACACCAGAGAATGCATATATATTCGTCAACCTTGCTCTTGAGTGATGTGAGCTTTTTAAAAGCTGCCAGTATCTTGATGATATATGAGGTAGACAGCCTCACATATTTTCGTATGTAACCTTTAACATTTCCACATCTCTCCATTCTGACAAGTAACATCTCCCAGCACCCTGCTGACTGCATTCCAAATGGCTAACTCCGGAATAATCCAGACTATACACAAGTCCCCGCCCTCCCCCCAATAGCTACACAGTCTGACGCACAGACCCTTAAACTGGATACTGTTACGATAACAGGCCTGTACATTTTAATTACATGACAGAACTGACAGACAAATTATCTGTTTGTGAATTTGTCCCACTACAGGATGCTTTTAAAGCTCGTTTGGAACTGCCTTCTGTATCGCTGGACATTCCTTGGGTTCACGAGCAATAAGGCATGAGATTACAATCGAAATGCCACCCTTACTGCCTCAGAAATTTTATCTTGTCTAAACTAGTCCCAGTATATTCCGAAACTCTGCTGTATCCGCCACTAAAAATAGTCCCTGTAAAAAAAAATCTTGATGACACAAAAAGCGGTGATCACGTACAGAGTATCTTGTGTACGCCCGGGTTGTTACATGGATACAGGCGGGTCTGCTTGTACGCAGAGCTTCCTGTTTTAGCCGGTTTACAGATGGAGGGGGGGAAAACTTGCAGCATCTGGCTGGAAGTTGCTGTCACATGTCAGCAAACGTCCCAGCCAGGCCTTTGGCTGGATAAACAAAGGCTCACATTTGACTCCTTTCTCTGCCATTTTGGGAGAGGCCTGCCTAAACATGGCTGGGACCATGGGAGCGACAAATGACAGAGGGATTGCTTCTGCTATGGGGACAATCTCGGGGACAAACCTCTAAGGACCTTATCAAACCAGGGTGGGATAGCTGCCAGATTTCAGAACTTCAAACCAAGATATGCTATTAGAGAAGTCCAGGCATTTTCACGTACACGGACGGAATGTGGAAAGCATGGGGGCCCGGTTTGCAGGAGGGAAGTGTTGAAGTAGGTTGACGGGCATACAACAAAAACCAACAATCACAGAAACCAAATAAACAGTGGAGGAAAGCTGTCAAAACTCTTGTGCAAACTACCTAGCGAGGCAGAAATACTATAACCAGACCTGTGTGTTTCTTATAATAACTCACACGCATCTATACCCCCCTATAGGATACATTGCTTCTTCGTTCCTCAACGGAACATTTCAAACCCTTATATACCAAGGGCAGATGTTGCAGAAAGTCTTGCAGCATCTGAAGTAACTCAAGCTGGCAGAGTAAGCCGGCAAGGATAAACAACGGTCGTGAGGGAAACGCCGTGATTGGAAGTCGTGGAGTCTGTCCACATACCTGCATGATGCGATCATGTATCCGCAGCTTCCCTTGCTCGTCTGCCGGGCCCTTCTCTACGATTCGCGACACGTAGATGCCCTCGGAAGAAATCCCGTCTCCCTGTAAGGAAGAAACAGTCAGCTTACCGGAACGCGATCATAACATTGTGGTAAAACATGATCTCATCCTACAGTTTTAGGTTGGGGCTTCGGCTGGCTTCTCAAATAAGACAAAAGGGGCAAAGCAGCACATTATTCTCTATAACTACTGTAAAATCACGAATTTTTCGACATCGTTTTATGATCATGGTTTTCGCGGTCACTTCTTCACCACAAACTTATCATTACAGTGAACAAATAATTCGCCAACTTTCTTCTTGCTGCACCTGCCGCCACCGCAAACATATAGTTCCCTGAACATGTCATTTTTTCTCAGACCGCAAACTTTTGCTACCGCAAACATTAAGTGATTTACAGTACATCTTAAATGATGTCTAATCAATTATCTGACAGACGATAGCTATATAAATTTTCCAATTTAAAGCTGACATAGAATATATTCACTGGAAGCATTACATCATTATGAAAGGGCAAATTGCAATAGATGAAAGTAGCTACCTACAAATTCAAGGTTACTCAAATTAGTATTTGACAATGAATCAAAGCAAAGATAACCATATGAGCTATATAGATAAACATACTTATTACAGATGGGAACTGAATACTTAAACATGATTGCAATGGTGCCTTATGCCTACCGAACTGTCAGTCTTGGTTCAAAGGACTGTATTTCTTGTTTAAGCTCCAGACTAAATAGAAGTTTGAAACTGGTTGTGTGCAAGCTCCCACAACCTACCCTTGGACACGTACTGCTTGGATTTGTCACCGGAGTATGAAAAATGGGGGCGCAATATTTGACTTTGACCTTCTAAGAGTCATTTTAGTCCACTCTGAGAGACAGTTTGTGATGAAAACTTGAGTCATTTCAGCTGATTGCCATCTTTACCTCAGTGTTAAATTTCTACACTGCGGCCAAGACTACCTATAGAGAATAGCCTAGCCATAATAAACTTTCTGAACAAAGCGATGTTAGTCTAAGTTCTGCTGATGGAAGGGTAGATAATCGGGTGCTCTATAGTTTTTACAAATAACTAGATCTCCTGTGGCTGTTTGGATGGCAGGCATTTGGGAAAATCAAAGTTTGCAGTAGTGTTTCAAGAGTTATTGTTACTCCGTGCCCAGTAGGGGAAATGCCACATACCAAGTGTGACATGACTTCCTTACTTCGGTATCTTTCTGAGTGGTGCAATTGAGACGTTTTCACTCGTTTGAGGACGTGTATTTCCTTCTAATCGTCTCTTGTTCCTCAAGCTTTCTTCAAAGGAAACAGCAGCTTACATACCAAATACCTTCAACGTTTGTTCTGGCTGGAATGGTACAAAATGCTGATTTGCACTCTTTCATATTTACGCAAAAGATATTTCTAAAAGGTCATGTTTGTATGTAACAACTAGAATTCACGGTTTATTGCTATTGTACAAAGACACCATTGCTTTTGTAAGCTAAGGGAGTTTCTGTACAGACAGTTTATGTTATTCACAGAAAACAGGTACTGCCCTTGTTAGAGAGTACAGTACATGCATGTGAAGTGTTCTAGAGGACTCAAACTGTCAACCCGAAAATAAGCTTTGTGTAGTACACATAACAACATGAAAGAAATCAAGGTGTAGGACATTTTTTTGTGACAAATTTTGTCACAGAGAATGTTGTCTGTCAAACTTTACTGTCATGCTATTTTAGTTGGCCTAATTATGGTCCCTTCGTTATTGTCCCATGAAGAGCGAAGAGGGTCCTGTATACATACACATTACACACAGCTCACAACTCCAAAAAACACTCCAAATTTAAATGGAGCAAGACAAAGGTGTTCTTTGAGGTACAGCGCAAAAAAACACAGCTTCTGAATATAAATCCTATTTTCATTATGGCAGGTTCTGACACAAAGGTAGACAATTAGTAGGTGGACTGTCCAAGAATAATACCATTCTTTACTTTCTAAAACTTCAAGTTTGATCAAAATGGTTGCTTTTGTCTGTGTATAAGAATACCACACCTCCGCTGTATACGGTACCAGACAATTCTTACACAATTAAAGAAGACAGGCCATCTCTAGAGACTGCGAAAACAATTATCCAGCCAGGTCTTTTGTGACCTCACCCATTCACAGCGTGAAGAAATGGGCTTCAATACAGCTAATTCTAACTGAATGAAATGGTAATGGTGGAAATGTGGGCCTATTCTTCCCTGTACATTGAAAAGGAAATAGACTTCAGGCAGATGAAGAGGGGGAAAATGAAGGGTGATTTGCATGATGAAGGAATGATCACTCCCAGAAGTAATTATCCAACACAGTCACTGTCACCTTCTGACCTTCTTCTTGTCTCCTAGCTATGGAAAACATCACAGAGGATATAAGGCCACACCAATTTAATTTCTTGGTTAACGGATTCGCCCGCTTCATTTTTTCTGATTTGCACCAAAAAAAAAGGAAATCAACTGCAAAATGCTCATATTTTGCCCTGAACAGTTGAAAACAGTCCTTTCCCTCCTAGTTGTTACAGTTATTCCATCTTTCAATGCAATGGTATCATTAAAAGTTCAAAATTCATTGTTTAATTAAATTTTGAACCAGCCTGGTGTGTTGACTTCATGGCTCCTATCGTACCATTTTGGGCCATAATAGGATACCTAGACCTGTTTTTATTTTTTTATTTTTTTTCGCCTGCCCACTCCATTACTTTTTAGAAAAATCCATTAACCAAGAAATTTAATTGGTGTGGCCTTATTGAAAAATAATTGGCAGTTTACAGTTACAGATATACTTTACTCTTAATTTTGAAGAATCAAGAATCATCCCTTGTTGGCTTGTACATTATTGAACTCAATCTGAGGATATCATTTTTTTTTCATGCCCCTTTCCAGACATCATTCTCATTTCTCCCATCATGCACTGCACCTACCACATTTCCTCCCATGATGTTAAATCCCAGCATGCCTTGGTCTCGCTCCAGCATCACAGTAAGTTGCTGTTCCTCTCCAGGCTGTCAAAAAAAACCAGCAAAATTTAATATGATCACACAGCAAAAAATTCATGACAGCTAAGTATTATGAAAGTAATATTTGTAGTAGTAGGCTGAACTATGCATCCAAACTTCTAATTGTTACTACAGATGCTAGCAAGAGGCTATAAAGGTCCATAAAGTTGTAGAGACAGAAATAGCACAGGAGACTTCTAAATATAATCTCATTATCTCAAGATTGATAGCAGAATTCGTCTCGTTAACGATTGCATGGGATGGTGGTGAAAATGTCAAACATCACAGATGCTTTCTTGACAACGAGTCTTCCTTTGAATTCCGAGCCTTCTGAGGATACTTGCGAAACCCAACGAGGAATGTCGGACACTTGGATTCGTGTGTACTAACAGACTATTGGAGCCAAGTGAGCTTGGGACGGCCAAGCGCAGTGGGACAGGGCTTGTCCCTGAACACCTAACAGCTGCAAACATATCAACAGATGTTCAAAAGTAGGGCTGCAACTAGAAGAGAATGCACATAGAATAGACAGTACTGTAAATCACTTTATGTTCACAGTAGCAAAAGTTTGTGGTCTGAGATAAATGGACATGTTCACTATATGTTCGCAATGGCGGCAGGTGCATAAGAAAGCAAGTCAGCCAATCATTTGTTCACAGGAATGATAAGTTCCCAGTATAGAAGTACAGAAACTGCGATTATAAAAGCTACAACTTAGTACAAGGAGATGGCTTTCTTCAACTCTAAAATTAGTAAGAGCCAGTGTTACTGTTAGCATTTGGAAGTTGACAATTACCCAAAATAGCAGAATATAATTTAGTACAATTTTTCTTTTCAAATTGGGAATTTTAGAAGTGAAGTGAACTTCTCTAAACCCTCTAGAATAGACGAAAGCCAGACAGTGAAGGTGACATCTCGAGAAGGACATGTCACATGGCTGGAATTTTCTGCCTTGCAGGGGGTATCTAGTATGAAAGGCAACCTGAACTATGGTAGACAGAAAAGCTGACAATCACCATGCTAAACAGAAATGTACTAGACAGTGGTCTTTTGACTGGCTTCAACAAATTTCAAGCTAGAACTGGGCAATACCTGTTAAAAATCGATTGACTGATAAACACTGGTTTACGTGTATACTGATGTGAAAATGGATTAACAAAGAAAAGGTAGTTTGCTTGCTTATGAACGCTCTATGCTGCCTGGAAGTCATCTGTTTATCTAACCCACAGTGGGGCACCTTGAACTAAAAGGGCAGGGCAGTTGCAGGGCTTGTTCAGTCCTGTTATGAAATTTCCTATGTAAACCTTGTCCTCATTGGAGGAAGGGAATTAATTGGATCTTTGTCAACAGTGGGAGGCAAGTAAAAGGGGGGGCAGGTATCTTTGATGTCTGAGATTCAAAGCTAAAAACAACATCCCCTGTTTAGAGGGAATGCCACCCCCTCAGAACAGGAAGTACAAGCACCAATACACCTTCCTTCTAAACATTCTGAAGTCAGCATTTTTCAAACCTGTGGTGTCAAAATTTTTTCTGGACAGTGAGTGCAAAGAGCCATCGGATGGCACCAAGGCTACATTTTTCACTGTTTTGGCATCTAAATGTCCTTTCTCAGAAAGCCGGTCAAGAAAAAGTATTTGTTTGCAGAGTTTGCAAATATTTGCAGTGAGTTACACTGATAAACAACGTTGCGTGGGGGCATTTAAAGTGGTAAACTACATAAATGTCCTATCAGCAAGATACCAGCCCTAGGGCAATGCAGATATCTCAACTCTGATAAGGGAAAAAACACTATAGAAATGTCTACACTTTATGTGTGTGGCTAGTGTTAAAGAGAAAAGGGGAATAAAAGAAAAACACACTTTATTCCCCAGGCTATATGTTTTGTGAACATTGCAACAAAGGGATTTAAATGGCCAACAACTGGTGCACACGCTCTGTGGTCACACAACAACGGGCTACCAGGTGCCCTGGTCGCGACCTCACCTTGGGACCTGTGCAAATGACTGGGCACGACAAAAACAATAGATAGTATTGTTTCAGCCACCCACCCCATTCATTCATAATTTTCACAATCATGACATACCTGCCAATTCCTCCTGGTGAAGTAGTCGATCTGTGCCCTGTAGTCCGTGATTTTCTTCTGAAATCTCAGCGCCTGCATGTGGATGTCGCTCTGGAGCGCGGCGATCTGGGCCAGAAGGGCTTTCTCCCGCTTGGAGAATCGAACGGCACGTTTCTTGTCGTCCTGATCGGCCCTGGAGAGCTTGAGCTGCAGGGAGGAGACCAGGTTTTGTAAGGCTTTGATACAGTCGTGTTCTGTAGATGAAGCGTCTTTGTGGGTGAGGGTAAGGCCGCAGCCTTGTTGGCAAACTCCTGCAGGCCTGAAGGGGCACAGTTCGCGCTGGTGTTGGTCGTGATCCTTGCAGTTGACCATTTCCCGACAGCCGGGGTTACGGCAGGGCACGGGGGTGTAGTCACATCGGTCCAGGTGCGCTCCGAGTTCCCTCAGCGGCACCACCGTCTCACAGCCCCGCCCGTCGTGGTCGCACCGCACGGGGAGGGAGAGGACTAGGCTGCGGAGCGGGAGGACGTGGTGCAGGTCCCGAACAGACGCGATGGTCGTCCCGCAGGTTATGTTTTCTCCCCCGAGGTAGGGGCAGCAGGCGCGTAGCTCCACCCAGGGCAGCACGCACCCCGCACAGAAGACATGTCCGCACGGCGTAGCTAGCGGGTCCTGTAACACCCCTCCGCACAGAGAACACAACAAGTCGGGCGACACAGGCCCCGAGAACCGACGGGCGTCAATCCCCATACCGATACTCCTACTAGCTCCACGTTAGTACACGGCAAACATCATCAGCACAGTACAATCAGAAAATGTAGCGTCCTCCTAAAACACACAATCCTGAAGGCCCGTCCTCGGCAATATTTGTGACACGGCACTGACCTGTTGCTCACGCAATTTTCAGTGAGCCCAAACTTCCTGATAAACTCCGAAATCGCTGACTGCACACTGTTTACAGCGCCGGTCTGTGCAGGAGCGCAGAGTAAAGAGAGGGCTGATCCCCAGGACAGCTAGCGGGATCCACGGTCTCAGTCACGGGCCGTCTGGCCTGACCCCTAGCACCACAATCTGCCGCACAGACGGGGTGAAAGCCGCGGGGTTCACCACCGAAGATCACTCGCACAATCCCTCGGTAGGTCCACGACAATCCGACGAAATTCTGAGACCCAAAACTGCGCGTGCGAGACGTTCAGCTCGGAAGGACGCGAATGCAGTTCCCAGTTCGGCCAAGGAAAACACAGGAATGGAAATAAAATCGCCCCCAGGCCCGGCTCAACTCGCGCACCCCGCCGGCTAGACCCTTTGAAGCTCCGCCAGGGCAAATCCACGCAGGCAGGGACGTCCTGTCTCCTCGCTATTGGCTGTCAAGCCGAAAGTTATTCCACACCCCTCCAAACACCGTGGTCTGTTCCATATCTGGAACAACATTGCCCTTTAATGGCTGGTGGAAGAATCCACCGAGCTGAACTTGTAGGGGTGACGAGACGGGGAGTCCTGGTGATGGGAACTTCCGGCAGGCGGGGACTTTGAAGGTTTTTGTATGCGCGACAGGCCATGGGAAACTGGCTTCGTCGTTTCCATCATAGAGAAAATAGGTGTGAACCACTAATTGCTCCTGTCACAATTTGACAGAATACACACAGACAGATGGTTTCTTCGGATCGGGAAATGAACACTGTCTTGTCCCAGGTGTCCGTCACAAAATGTCCCTTTCGTTTTGTAATATACTAAAAGTATAAGACGTAGGAAAAAAAATACATTTTTCAAAAGTTGTGTATCAAATTCTTCAAGACCAAGGAGTAAACCCATGTCCATTTTCCTTGGATTTTTGAGCGTAAACGCCTGTTCCTATTTGGCTTGGCTGCAAAAAAGGCACGCCAGCAAAATTGGAAGCAGCTGACATACGGCAGACTACAACACACATACACACATAGCTCCCACACGGGGCTCAAGGAGGTACGCCTAACTCTTGGGTTTTGACCGAGATGAACTCTTAATCAATTCCAAAAGGCGTCAGGCTCACAGCTATACGATGAGTTGAGGTGGTAGATTTAGAATCGAAGTCATTGTTTATAAAGTTGAGACCTGTCTACGTAGTAACTGACGTATACGGATGACTTCTTGACGCAAAAGGACCTGGCACACTTGTCAACACGAGAGATCACATGTAAACCGAATGCCCAACTGTTGTGTCTGTGACAATTGTGTCGTTTATTGACTCAACATTAGACAGGCGAATGTCAGGGACGAAGCTTCGACAGTCAGTACTCTCCAAGCAGAGGTTTGGGTTTTGGCTTATTTCTAGCATGTTTTATTAGGCTTTTTTATCGGGGTTTCTTTTTTATAATTGCACTTGATTTTGTTTACGCCCCAAAATAATCCAGTGCAACAAAAAACGATAAAAAACTCAGTTTTCTGTCACTACCACACCAAAGGACAAAAAAACGGAGCATACTAGTATTAAAAAGGTCACAATCTTCCCCACCAACCTCTGCTTGGAGTGTAGTCAATGAAATGTTTTCCCGATCCCCAGAACAGGAAATACTGTATCTCACTATCTGTTTCTGACGTCTTTTCAGAGTTTTCTCTCGTTCTTTCTGCCGTTTGTAGTAACTTTACACGAGTTTTCCTTTCTTAGGTCGAGACGTCGACATTTTTTTTTATTTCTCCCTGTCACAAGCGCATTGCATGATTCTGGATTATTCGTAAACAAATTCTTCATAGTTTTACATGTATTTCGATAGTATCTTTTTTCGTAGATCAAAAGTCACATACATGTACATTAAATCATCAATATTATAATAATAACGTGAAGCTTTGATCTTCGAGAAGATTGCATTCGAGCAAAAGAACGAATTCGTTAGAAAATACATCGCTTCCTCTCTCAAAAGGTTATTATTTTATATTTTGTCAACTTTTTATTTGTTTTTCTTGCTGATGAAAAAAACGTCATTTGTTTGTTTGTTTCTTTCTTTCTCCTGGTAATGAAAAAAAGCCCAGACAATATCAACGTACATCATGTGGTTAGGTATGTTTATCTTTGCCCCATCCTGAAAAGAAAAATACCAATTAACACTGAGATGTTTATTGCAAGGTCAGTTTTGTTGGTGTCGGCAATTGCGCAGAATTGGCGCCAAAATTCACACCTTTTTCCCAGCCTACGGGGTTTGGAGCGTGAAATTGGGAACGAGACGCCCCGTCTCCCCTGGGCCAGTTTCACACGGACTTGTCACTCGTGCCGCCCGGAGGCACCGGCCTGACAACGTAACAACACTCACAGGACATGCACGGGTGATCGCCAAGAAGTTTTTTGGGAGAAGATAGCCTCCTGTGTAGGCCCCGCCGGGCGGTGGGGAAGGAGTTCTTTAATGTAGCCGGCCATCCTACATAACCGACGAGAGAAGGTAGAATGTAGAGTGTAGGATGGCCGGCTATATTAAAATAACGCGTTAAAACTCTTGAACTCTTCCCCACATCCGCGGGGCCTGCACAGGAGGCTAAGGAGAAGAGTAGCCTCTACCTAGCCTCCTGTGCAGGCCTCTGGACGGGTGGAAATTTTGATACTGCGTTTTGTAGAATCTTTAACGCGTTCCTTTGTTGGCCACCTTACAACCAGCAGCGACGGGTACAAGCCTTTTCCGGGCGGCTGGTTGTAGGATGGGCGGCAAAAGAACGCGTTAAAAATTCTACAAAACGCAGTATCAAAACTCCCACCCACCCGGAAGCCTGCACAGGAGGCTAGCCTCTACATACTCTCCAAGCAGAGGTTTGGGTTTTGGCTTATTTTTGGCGTGTTTTAGGGATTTTCTTTTTTTTTTTTTTGCGCTGGCACGCCAAAAACAGGTACCACAGCAAAAAAAGAATGTCCGATAAAAAAAAAGCCTAAAGAAACGCCAAAAATATAAGCCAAAACCTACCAACTGCTTGGAGACTAGCCTCTATCAGACCTCGGAAGCGGCTGGACACATGGACAGATAACATGTCAGTATACTGCACTCCTTTGGCGAACCAATGCCCCTGGAATGTTATCTGTCTATTTGGCTAATTTCTAGTCTACTGGCCGCTTTCGAATCCTTGTAGAGGCTAGCTAGAGGGGAGGTTCTTGGACGAAAAACGCTCTGATATCCCTGCATCTGTTTTAAGGCTATCACAGTATATGCACAACCTTCTCTGTCATAGCCCACGACAGTTGCAATTAAGCCCCGAAGAAAAATTCTAGACAACATTTTCCCTACAAGTATACCCTGCATGTGTTTTCTGAGAATCCAGGCTTTCAAACCGGCTTTTTATTTTGGAAAGGAAAACTTTAAATATTCGATATTGGTAGTTTCGCTGTTTATAGTGGCTGTCCAAAAGATCTGCTTGGAGATTTGTCTACCAGTATCAAAATATTTCATGGCTTGAACAAATTACTGATTTAATGGTAAAATAGATACTCTTTGGAAATAATCGATTTTTATGATGAAAAAAAACCTAGTCAGTTGTTGCCTTTCGTTTGAAAAGTAGGTCAACAGACTGATATGTTTCATCTGCTTTGATGCACGTATAATATTACTGTTGATTCATAATCTCCAAGCAGATCTTTTGGTGGTCGCAAAGGCCAGGCAGCATCCATTTACCAGTTACCATTTGCGAGCTGGAGTAAAAAAAAAAGGTACCAGTCCCGAAAAAACAACGTCCGATGATAAAAACGCCTAAAAACATGCCAAAAACAAGCCGAAGCATAAATAAAATCTCCGCACGGAAGGTCGTACCAACAACATCCCGTGCGCGTTGTACCCCTCCCCCAGGAAGCGACAGGAAACTTGCGGCGCCATCATTTACAGATTTTACCGTTCAAAATGTGATTTTCTTTGCTGTTCACGTCGGTAGCGCCTTGTGTTCTCTACAGTACCGCCCTCCCCCATCCAACATAAACATCCGGGCGGTTCACAACTGTGGACGGAGGTACACCAGCTGCCGAGAGCGCTAGCTAGCCCCCCTTCCACCAACTGAACAACCACAATCACATCTGACAGGACACCGCCTTGTAATCTTCACTGGGAGATGTCTCAATACCACAGCTGCCCTTCTGTCCCCAGAGATGGAAGAGATAGAAACACAAGGTGGACCGTCAGGCGTTATTCCATTCTTGACTAATCGTCGGCAATCGCATCGAAGTCCTGAGTAGTTTTTCTTATGGAAAACTCGGCCGCTCTTCTCTGGCCGATTAGCGCAAAATCTTGCCGAGAAAAGCCCTCTACTTAACTACGGAAAACCGCCGAAGAAATAGGTGTTGTCACGGGCAGTGTGAGTCGTAATGAGAGGGGTGGAGAACTACATGGTAACTATTTAAATTCAGGAATAAAAAAAAGGGGTAGGCAACAGAGATGTTCCTCATAATGTTGCTTCTAAAACCATCGCCATACGCTCAAAAATCTATCCGAAAATAGCTACAGTTCAGAGAATGGATTAGAAATTTGCCAGATTGGCGGATCAGGACAATTGGTGACTTCAAAGAGTCGCCCGCTGAAATCTTCTTAGGGATAACAAGGTTGATCCGGATGACGTACCGGGCGTGAAATCGGCAGCCTGCCGTTTGTTGTGCTTTTGTAAAGCAACCGAAATCGATTTTTCCGACTGTTGAGCTGGTGTGAAGTAACAATATTTTCGTAATCGTTGCAGCTTTGCATCTGATATACATGTATGTACTAGTGATTAATTCGCGTCACAAACGTTCTTAAATAAATGAATAAAACAACTAGTTTCGCGATTCCATACATCCAAAACTATTCTGAGATTCTTCCTAAGCCACGACTGACTTTTAAAAAGATGTTTTAACACATGACGCACGGCTTACGGTCAAACAACACATCCTGTCATCCGGTGTGCGTCCTTGTAAATACAGCATATGTACAGCCACGGCGCTGAAACGACGTCTAGCGATTGTTGCTTAAAGCGCATCCAAACTGACCGTGCCCTTTTCTTCAATTCATGCCACATTAATCTGCTCATTATTCTATCACCTGACTAACTGAATCATTCTCAGCCGACGGAAAAGTATGAACAGTTTTTTTCTTTATTTGCGAGTTTTAAATCAAAATTCGCGAGTTTTAAATCAAACTTTACATACATTTTAGTTTAGAATACGTGTCAGTGTCACCTTATGTCACTTCATGGTCTTCTATAGCCTGGTTACCAGACCTATTATAGCTCCCGAGTCCTACATCCTGTCCGCAAGTAGTAGAGGATGTAGGACTTGGGAGCTACAATAGGTCTAGTAACCAGCCTAGCTAGGTGTTCTACGCCACACCTTAATTAAGAAAGGAAGAAAAGCAAGACAAAAGATTTTTCGTCACATCTTTCTTTTTAATGTATCCTTTGTAGGCACACTCGGATGTGACGTGTGGACCCATCGCTTAGCCAGTGGAGATGATGTTAAGGCACAAGGCCAAGGAGCTGCCGTCGTCAGGGCACTGGCAAGTGTAACCGGGGAAACCCGGAAACGCCTCAACTAAAATAACAGCTTCCCCCGCGGGTATCAGGGTAAAGTCCGAAGTAAAGCAGGGGGGACGTAAGGGGCGACCTGAGGTAAAAAAAGACGATACTGTTTCAAACCAAAGAAAGCTGGCACAGTGCTTATTTACACGCGCATTTGATATAAAAATACATTTGCACTTTATTAAATATCTTTAGAATGTAGTTAAAGAATCCAATGCAATGAACAAAAAAAAGCATGGCAAATTTATAACGGATACATTGTAGTACCACAAAAACAATAGTAATAAACCCGGGGACAGGAATCCCCATTGTCAATATTCATAGATCTTTTGACAAAACATATCATCATTCATCCTTGTATCAAAGATAAAGTACATAAACATAGGGGAAAATGGGGAAATTTTAATTCTGTATTTTCCGGTTAAAGATAGGTACATGTAGCAGGTAATTGTAATACATAAAAGGTAACTGTGGTTTGTTCTTAATTAAGACTAAACCACAGTTTTATTCAACTGGTAGTCAGTCTAACTTTCCCGGAGGAAAAAGAATTAATTGTTTCCTTCAGTTCCCTTTCTGTTATTTAATCGTCAGATTTTCCCCTCTGCTCATCTGACAAAGGCTCACTTTTAAGTTTCGGAAAGAAAGGCTTAAATATTTCCTCATCTAATAACATTGGCGGCTCCTTAAAATTAAATTAAGAATAAAGATTAGCATAAAATTTTACTTTTATGAAAGAATTTCTAATGGGTTGGTTTTGGCATGATTATCTACGGTATTAAATTTCGACATATTTTTTTTAGCTTTGTCTCTTGTGACTATGTTGGAATCAGATCTATATCTAATTCCTCCTGCAGGCTGCAGATTTCCCTTGTTAGAAATATTTCAGTTTTCCTATGCTGTTTGTATTTCCAAGAAGAGTATTTGATAATATGCCCACGAACGTTACACAGCATTTAAATGTGTCCTACACGACATGTGGACTTAGTACTTGCAGAATCCTTATTGTTATGAAATCTGAAGTCTCTAACAAATACCGGGTCCCTTAACAAATCTTGACTAAATCCCCAAAAACCTTTACCCCTGGGTGTTATTGATGTTATAAGAGAAAGCCCGATAAGAGAGTGGTCGGATCTAAAACTATCTTCAATTTTGACGTTTTGTATGAAAGATACTAAAGAAAAGGATGTTAAGAAATAATCAATACGACTGACTTGGAGTCGACGTCTCCAAGTATATCGTATTTCCCTGGGATTATTGTATCTATAGATGTCTATTAAATCTAGATTTGCACATAAAGAGTTGATTGCCTGAAGACATTTGTGGTGGTAATTTGAAAAGCGATGCCCTGTTCTGTCCATATCTGAGTTTAAAACAGTATTAAAGTCTCCTACAGCAACAATATATAATCCAGAATCAATATAGGGCTGTAAAATTGTTTCCAGATTTGTGAAAAAAGGTTTGTCAGAATTGGGGCCGTAGATTTAACCAAACAGAAACGTACCTTCGTTATTGTAACAGTTGGCCAGTAAGCTGCTGTGGTGGTTCCATGGATCATAGTCAGGGCACTGGCAAGCGTGCCCGTCCACCTCAACAGCACCCCCCGCGGGTATAATGGATCCGTCCCAGGCGTAGCAGTTGGGTCCTGAGGTAAAACAGACGATACTGTGTAAAAATTTCGAATCCTGAGACTGTTTTATTTCCTACCGCCCAATTAAAGCTGGTACAGTGCTTATGCACAGCCGCATATGATATAAAAAAAATACATTTGTACGTTATTAAATACCTTTAGAGTGTAGTTAAAGCATCCAACGCAATCTTAGGGCGGCAAAACTGGATATTCAAAGTTGAATCAACCCTATCCCAAAGTATACTGATATCTTGTGAGGCAAAACTGTGATGTCGTTGACTGGCGGAAAACGGTTGATTGTTGGATGCCTTTAAACCTTGAGGAATTTCTGTTGCCATACCGTTTGGACACCCTCCACATCTACAGTTGGAGTAGTCGTCCGGTGTCGGGTCTACACAAGGCTTGTAGTTGGAACAGGTGAACTTCCAGTGGTTCAACCAACATGGCAGAGATGGGAGGGTCGGAGTGGTAGTCATAGTGGTGGTCGGAGTGGTGGTCATGGTGGTGGTCGGAGTGGTGGTCCGTGTATCCCTTGCTGTAAGTGATAACGATTACTTTACTACCACACGTACATGTAAATAATGATAAATGTCAACGCCGTAATGAAACTCAAGCTGAGATGGTTTTGTCACGCGCATGCGCGCGCGCACACGCACACACACGCACACACCAAAAACAATACTCACATAAGCCAATGTAAGAAAAGGAAATGCAACGTTACCAGATCAAAATTTCTCGTTATCCCATTTGCTTTCCCTTCAATTTTCCAGTCTACACAATAAAGATGTACTCTTTAATTGTTTAATTTAATTGTGTACTGTAAAATAATATGCATTTTTCAATTCCAAAAATAAATGCCTGTCGAAATATAGCACCTCCTTCTGGGGGTTAGTACTCCTTTAAATGTGTCCCACACGACATGTGGACTTAGTACTTGCAGAATCCTTATTGTTATGAAATCTGAAGTCTCTAACAAATACCGGGTCCCTTAACAAATCTTGACTAAATCCCCAAAAACCTTAACCCCTGGGTGTTATTGATGTAATAAGAGAGTGGTCGGATCTAAAACTATCTTCAATTTTGACGTTTTGTATGAAAGATACTAAAGAAAAGGATGTTAAGAAATAATCAATACGACTGACTTGGAGTCAACGTCTCCAAGTATATCGTATTTCCCTGGGATTATTGTATCTATAGATGTCTACTAAATCTAGATTTGCATATTAAGAGTTGATTGCCTGAAGACATTTGTGGTGGTAATTTGAAAAGCGATGCCCTGTTCTGTCCATATCTGAGTTTAGAACAGTATTAAAGTCTCCTACAGCAACAATATATAATCCAGAATCAATATAGGGCTGTAAAATTGTTTCCAGATTTGTGAAAAAAGGTTTGTCAGAATTGGGGCCGTAGATTTAACCAAACAGAAACGTACCTTCGTTATTGTAACAGTTGGCCTGTAAGCTGCTGTGGTGGTTGCTGTATGGATCATAGTCAGGGCACTGGCAAGCGTGCCCGTCCACCTCAACAGCACCCCCCGCGGGTATAATGGATCCGTCCCAGGCGTAGCAGTTGGGTCCTGAGGTAAAAAAAGAGACGATACTGTGTAAGACATCTGAATCTGTTTTATTACCTTCGTCAAGACGCCTAAATATTCAGTGTACCGGTGACCTTTTACCGTCAATAATTGCCGGAGTAACGGCAGTCGGACATCACGGAAGAAGAAGAAGGTTATGTTTTCAGTAGTGTTTGTCTGTTTGTTTGTCTGTTTGTGTAACTCACAGACTAACTCATAACTCAAGAAGCTTTGTATGCATTGTCATGACACTTGGTAGGTGGGTAGGGCTTGATGAGATCTAGAAATGATTAGATTTTGGCAGCTTTTGTTGGTACTCAGCAGCAGAACTTGATATCTCATGATCTGGATATGCTAGGGCCACGAATTTTGAATGGTAGATAGATCTTGGGCTAGGGAAGAAGTGGCATGGATATGGGCCCCCTAGCGGCTTGTTCTGGAACTGCAGGAGCGTGTACGGAAGAATCTTTGAAGGAGGATAAATCAAGAACCGGGCGACAGATTGTCGTGATTTTTGGTAGGTTGGTAGCTGAAGTAATGCTTGACATAATCATATGGCCATTATGCAAATCAAGGGCTAATTTGCATAATTAATGAGTAAATTAAATAAGTCTGATTCGTTCGATAATAGGACTATGAAACACTTGTGGAACGTTATTGAGAACGAGAACATCTGTGGATATAGATTATGCAAATGAAGCCCTAATTTGCATAATTAATGGGAAATTGTTATAACTTCATAGCTGTAATTGCTGGGAATTTTATATACTAAGGTGAACATCAATAAACATTTTTTTCAAATCTTGACCTCATTTGCATAATTTACGATGAAGTGCTAGAATAGCATTTTTTGTTAGGATAAGGCTGTCATTGGGTGGAGAATATGATCAATTGATATAATCCAAGGCTCTTATTTGCGAAATCAATGATTGAAATTGTATAATTCGTCCACCGGATCCGGAAAGGTTAACACCATTTGGCGAAGGTGTGAGATCGTGGAACTCTTGTTTCCTACTAATGAAAGCGTTTGCTACCACTGGCACAGTGCTTATGCAGACCCGCATTTCATATAAAAATACATTTGTACTTTATTAAATACCTTTGGAATGTAGTTCCAATGCAATTTTAAGGCGGCAAAACTGGATTTTCAGAGTCAATTTTCTTCTCACTCTTGTAGTAATTTGAATCAACCCTATATCATAGAATACTCGTATCCGTAAGGCAAAATGCGATTTCGCTGACGGAATTCGAAAACGGTTGCTTGTTTTGTACCGTAGGCTGGTACTAGCTATTTATGGGTGGTACCCAAAAATAAAGAAACGCCTCACGTAGCTTGCTCTGGGGTTATATAACAGGGGTACCAAAGAATTCATAATTTGTTTCTTTAAAAGATCCAAATTTCAAATTTCAGGACAGCAAAACCTTGGTTGAATCAACTCAATCCCACAGCATACTGATAACTGTGAGAAGAAAATGTGATGTCACTGAAGGAAAACGGATATGAAAATGTGCTAAGAAATGACAGTAAATGTGTAATATCAGTCAGGTTCCCTTATCCAGAATATTGTAGTCTCCACCAAACAACGCGGGTTCAAAAAAGTATAATTTAGCCAAGAGGTTAGCCAGCATTGAATTCATTTGGTCCCCTTCAGAGGGGGAAATTGACCCTCCCTCCGTACCCCCGTATGAAGGCCGGGAGCTAAGCATATTGTATTGAAATTTTATCCAATGCCTTTTTCAAAGCTTGAGAAATTTCTGTCGCCATACCGTTTGGACACTGCCCACATCTACAGTTGGAGTAGTCGTCCGGTGTAGGGTCTACACAGGGCTTGTTGTAGGGACAGGTGAACCTCCAGGATTGCAGCCAACATGGCAGAGGGTGGGTGGTGGCCAGTGTGGTGGGGGCCGTGGTGGTAGGAGTGGTTAAGTAGGTGGTGGTGGTGGTAGGAGTGGTGGTGGGGACCGTGGTATAGACCGTGGTAGGGCAGGACCACGGACGGCTGGTGGTACCCGAGGATGGATCGGTTGGGCAGATGCAGTAGCCACACCTGCAGTTTTTTAATATTTTTTAATCCACATATATTTATTGGGCAAAAAGCAAAAGTCGCTTATATAACACCTTCTACCCAAAAACATACAACGAGTATAAAACACAATGACACGATACATGCATATTTACAAGGTGGATAAAACCAAGATAAATACAAACAAGACAAGTTGGTGATCTATCAATTATGAGAATTTACCCGTACAGTAAATGAAGTTTTGAAGGACATCAAACACATTACAGTTTTGTAGGTGTGAAAGTGATGTGGACCCTCGCTCGAAGTAGTAAGGAACATAGGGAACTGTTATTGAGATGCTGTAGCTCTACTATGTTGGAGAGAGATGATGACAGTACTTCTTTGACTAGCTGGAATAAAGACTGGACTATCATACCTGCAGTTGTCATAGTCGTGAGGTACGAAGGCGTGTCCCTGACAGTCCAGGTCAGGACAGGTGAACTTCAGGTAGGCCCAACATGGAAGTTGTTGCGTGGTTGTTGTCCAGAAAGTCGGAGTGGTGGTGGTGGTCCGAGTATCCCTTGCTGTAAGTGATAACGATTGATCAACTACCACATGTACACGTAAATAATGATAAGGCCACAGCAAGTAATTTTTATGGATGACATCACCGCGCTCATTAATTTTTGCCTGATTTTGAAAAAAAAAACACACCAAAGTTTGTTGCCTGCTGACAGTGGTCAACATGCCGAAAATGGGCAAAGATGTCTGTTTCCATGCCGGAAGGTGGATGACAGATAACTATGAAGAGAGGAGACAAGAAAAGGCTCTGAATTAATGTTTAGTTTCTTACTTTGATGCAGTGATATGTGATGCTGGCTGTGTATATGTGATATTCCCACTGAATCAAAACCATTTGTGCAATGATTGAGTCAAAATTTCAAAATGTAGGAACCTTTTTTTTTTCGGCCAGCCTTGTTTTTTTTCGCCCACTCGCATTAAATTTGGAGTCTGCGGAGGATGTCATCCATAAAATTTCCTTGCTGTGGCCTAACCGTCAACACCGTAATGCTGACATGGTTTGGTCACGTTGCAAGATCGCCAGGGCTTGCAAAAACTGTACTACAAGGGACAGTGTCAGGAAGCCGAAAAGGGGGTAGGCAGAGAAAGAGGTGGGAAGAAAAAATAAAAGAGTGGATTGGACTGAGTGTTGCTGAAGCCATGAGAGCGGCGGAGGACAGGGTTAAATGGAGGAGGATAGTGGACCAAGTCATGGTGCCCCAAGGACCCTCAGCGAGGTAAAGGGATATGCATATGGGACATGCATATGGGACATATGGGACATATGGGACATGCGGAAACACAGGCAGACACACACACACACACACACACACACACACACACACACACACACACACACACACACGCACACACACACACACACAGACACACACACACACAGAAAGACAGACATACACACAGACACACACACACAGACACACACACACACACACACACTCGTAAGCCATATTTTCACGGAGGTAATAAAAGGAAATGCCACGTTGTCTCAACATTTCTCGTTATCCCGCTTGTTTTCCTTTTTTCCAGTTTACACAATATAAAGATATACTCTTCACACCGAGTGTCGTTAGAAATTTCGGTACCATATGTACATGCAGTAAACTATCAAAATGTGCAATAAAAGGAAATGCAGTGGAGCCCTAAACTTGATTATTATCCCCATTCTTTTCCCTTTGTTCTCCATTTTACACAATAAAATATACTCTTGACACTAGTATGAAACTAACGGTGAAGAACTTACCAAGGACATGGCCTTCGGCAGCGCAGGCCAGGAGAAACAGGAGAGGGAAGAACATGGCGGTCGGCATCTTGCGTAGTCGCTGTATCGTAGACTGAAGTCAATATATTTATACCGAACAAGAATCTGTTTGTTTCTCCGCCCACGACTGTAGTTAATATATATACCGAGAAAAGAATCTATTTGTTCCTTCGCCCAGATGTGTGTCAATACTAGCTTCTGCGTCATAATTTTTGGCACACCTAGCCCAGTAGAATGTTTCATGCCATACCAAATATTGAACTTAGAAAAATGTGTAATCTTCTGTGTCAGTGTTCGTTGCAAGTTACCATTTATGTTTGTCCTGAGTCCGAAAAAACTCTTGCTATAATAGCGAGAACCTGTACTCCACCAACTGGATATCAAAACTAGACTATTAAACAATTTCTTCAGAGAAGTTTTTTAACACGAAGTTTTTGTATACTGATGGAAAAAAAACTTCAAGTAGGTACACACAGTGGTATAATAAATCATTGTAATTTTAACATTTCTTCGCAAGTCTTTTTACCACGTAGTTTTTGTCTAGTGATATATAGGAAATCGACTTTTAAGTAGATGCGCAAAGTGGATTGATAATCATTGTAATTTTTAGGTTGAAGTTTTTGTAGGTGAGAGAAATAGATGATACAGTAACTTCATGTAGCCTCTTATCAGTTGTGTGAGAATTTAACACCTGTCCTAGAGGCTCTGTGTCTAGGTCAACGGCGGGCACCAATGAACGAACGTCGACCTTGGCCACTGTAGACGGAAGGTTGGACGAACACTTCGCAGAATCTGAAACAATATTTGTTCCTCGGCTGTGCCCTGTGTCTATATTTTTTCCAACGTTTATTTTAACTATTTAACCTTGAAGTTACACTGTAGGTGGTGGCTGCCTCTGTCATATGTCCAGTCCTGACCAATTCCGTAGTACTGAATTATTGGTTTTTTGCAACATATTATAAACTGGTGGACGTACCAACCACGAAGTATCTGATACCATCCCAGAAAAGAACAAGAAACAATCATGCCTTCAAATATCAGAGTTATGAACCAAGAATTGAGGTGTTCAAAAACTCGTATTTCCCCAGAACCATCGTAGATGGAACTCGATGCCACCAAGCACAGCTGGGGCATCATCACTTGGAAGCTTTAAACAACAATTAAATGTGCAAAGATTGAGTGTAACAAGTCGTTCGGTGTGATATAACCAGCTGCCGCCGCGCCGCGTGCCAGCGAAGCTGGAGTGTTACGCGGAAGGGCGGTTATACTGGCTATACAGATACATATGTTTTGAATGCTGACACTGAGGGTGCTTTTCTTACGTTTGGTGGTAAATTATCCCATGTCATTGCACCTATATCATTTGCGTCATAGGTCATTCTAGCGCAGTAAAATGTTCATGTCAATCATTCGTATTTTAGCAACAAAATCTACATTTTCTTTCCGCCATGAATACAGAGACCAATCAAAATTAGAAACAACAAATTTCATTTTTGGCTAAGACTCCCGGCACAAACTTTACATACATTTTAGAATACATAAATTGTCAGTGTCACCTTTTGTCACTTGAAGACATCATGGTCTTCTATAGCCTGGTTACCAGACCTATTATAGCTCCCGAGTCCTACATCCTCTCCACAAATAGTAGAGGATGTAGGACTGGGGAACTATAATAGGTCTGGTAACCAGGCCAGCTAGGTGTTCTATGCCACAAAGGAAGAAAAGAAAGACAAAAGATTTTTCGTCACATCTTTCTCTTTTTAATGTATCCTCAGATATGTGACGTGTGGACCCATCGCTCAGCCAGTGAGGGTGCCTACGTCACAGTTGGCATATGAGCTGTGGTCAGGACACTGGCAAGTGGCACCGTCCACCTCAACAGCTTCCCCCGCAGGTATAATGGATCCGTCCCAGGCGTAGCAGTTGGGTCCTGAGGTAAAACAGACGATACTGTGTAAAATTTCGAATCCTGAAACTGTTTTATTTCCTACCGCCCAATGAAAGCTGGCACACCCGACGATTTGATATAAAAGATACATTTGTACTTTATTAAATACAATGACCTACAGTGAGTGTAGTTAAAAGCATCCAATGCAATTTTAGGGTGGCAAACCTGGATATTCAAAGTCAGTTTTCTGGTTACTCTCTTTTGATGTAGCTATAGTAATTTGAATGTGATGTCGCTGACGGAAAACGGTTGATTGTTGGATGCCTTTGTGAAAGTTCTGTTGCCATACCGTTTGGACAATGTCCACAACTACAGTTGGAGTAGTCGTCCGGTGTAGCGTCTACACAGGGCTTGTTGTAGGGACAGGTGAACCTCCAGGATTGCAGCCAACATGCCCAAGGGCGGGTGGTGATGGTGGTGATGGGGACCGTGGTGGTGGGGACCGTGGTGGTAGGAGTGGTTAAGGCGGTGGTGGTGGTAGGAGTGGTGGTGGGGACCGTGGTATAGACCGTGGTAGGGCAGGACCACGGACGGCTGGTGGTACCCGAGGATGGATCGGTTGGGCAGATGCAGTAGCCACACCTGCAGTTTTTTTAATATTTTTTAATCCACATATATTTATTGGGCAAAAAGCAAAAGTCGCTTATATAACACCTTCTACCCAAAAACATACAACGAGTATAAAACACAATGACACGATACATGCATATTTACAAGGTGGATAAAACCAAGCTAAATACAAACAAGACAAGTTGGTGATCTATCAATTATGAGAATTTACCCGTACAGTAAATGAAGTTTTGAAGGACATCAAACACATTACAGTTTTGTAGGTGTGAAAGTGATGTGGACCCTCGCTCGTAGTAGTAAGGAACATAGGGAACTGTTATTGAGATGCTGTAGCTCTACTATGTTGAAGAGAGATGATGACAGTACTTCTTTGACTAGCTGGAATAAAGATTGGACTATCATACCTGCAGTTGTGATAGTCGTGAGGTACGGAGCCATGACCCTGACAGTCCAGGTCAGGACAGGTGAACTTTAGGTAGGCCCAGCAAGGAAGTTGTTGCGTGGTTGTTGTCCAGAAAGTGGTGGTCGGAGTGGTGGTCCGTGTATCCCTTGCTGTAAGTGATGACGATTGATTTAGTACCACACATACATGTAAATAATGATAACCTCATAGGTCATGTATCGAAACGCCTGTGAGAACAGTTAAAGCCACCAGATGCAGACGTGATTAATGACTTTCTCCCTCTGGAACCAAGACATACTCTATCACAACCTGATATATGGGCCATACGGAAACACAGACAAACACACAGACACACACACACAGACACACACAGACAGACAGACAGACATACACACACACACACACACACACACACACACACACACACACACACACACACACACACACACAGCAAAAACAATACTCACATAAGCCAATGTAAGAAAAGGAAATGCAACGTTACCTCAAAATTTCTCGTTATCCTGCTTGTTTTCCCTTATTTTTTTCCAGTCTACACAATAAAGATGTACTCTTCACATCGAGTGTCGTTAGAAATTTCGTACCATATGTACGGTTATGTAGTAAACTGTCAAAATTTGTAATAAAATGACATGCATTGGAGCCCTAAAACTTGATTGCTATCCCTGTTCGTTCCGTTTGTTCTCCATTTTACAGAATAAAGTATAATCTTGATATTGAGTGTGGTTAGAAATGTGAAGAACGTACCATCATGGTTGCAGGTGCTGATACATTTGGGACGGTACTTGTACCGTCCGGCGGACACCTGCGTCGCCATGCAGGTGCAGCTGGTGCACCTGTCCGGGCTGAACTCGCCGGGAGGATACACCTGCCCGTCCGAGTACAGACAGCCGGTCAGCAGGACCCGGCCTTCGGCAGCGCAGGCCAGGAGAAACAGGAGGGGGAAGAAAATGGCGGGCGGCATCTTGCGTAGTCGCTGTGTCGTAGACTGAAGTCAATATATATACCGAACAAGAATCTATTTGTTCCTCCGCCTAGGCGTGTGTCAATACTACACTGCGTCATAGTTTTTGGCGCACCTAGCCCAGTAGAATGTGATACAGAGTATTAAACTTACAAAAAGATATGTCAGCTTCTGAGGCAGCGTTCGTTGCAAATCCAAGTAGATGCGCACAGTGGAATAATAATGTATCGTAATTCTTAGGTGTACGTTTTTGTAGGTCAGAGAAATAGATGATATGATATGATAACTTCACGTGGCCTCTTCTGTGAGAATTGAACACCTGTTTAGTGTCTAGGTCAATGGCGGACGCCACCTTGGAATCTTGGCCCTTTAGGTATGCAAAAACAATTTTAGGTTTTGAGTTATTTGTTCCTCCTCTGAGATAAGTTTTTGGCATACCCAGCAGAATGTTTCATGCCCGATACCAAACATCGAACATCGACCGAACTTCAGCTCCAAGTAGTTGCGCACAGTGGAATCGTATCATTATAATTTTTCTGGCAAACCTAACCACCCATGTCACCGATCTTGTACCCTTGGGAAAGGCACTTTACAAGACTTTCCTCACTTCAGTCAGGTGTAAAAATGAGTACCTAGCTTCGGTTAGGGTCGTCCCTCGGATAGGACGTTAACTGGAGGTCCCGTGTGTGGGAGAGCCACACCCCACGCACGTTAAAGAACCCGCCACATCTTTCGAAAAAGAGTAGGGGCATGCCCCGGTGTGCGATGGTCCAAATACTAATCTGATTATTCACTACGGACTCCAGGAAGAATAGTGTGAAATTCACACATTCAATGGAGATTCTAAACAAACAAACAAACAAACAAACAAACAAACAAACAAACAAACAAACAAGCGTTCGTTGCAAATCCTGCAAGCCTCTAGACGTTAGCCTTTATGTAGTCTGAATGTCCTTGTTTTATGTTTTTATGGTCCGGGAAGAGTAAACGTAGCTGCGTATTCGTTTATATGTGTACGACAGCTAATGGACTGAATAAAGTATCCAAGTATCCAAGTATTCTCTGCTCTCTACTTACTAGTAGCTACGTAACAAACGTTTCTTCCACCACGTGTTTTTGTCTACTGATATTGGAGAACAACTTTAAGTGTAGGTGAACACAGTGGAATGACAAATCATATAATTGTAATTTTTCGGTGGTTTAAGTTTTTTGTAGATTACAGGAATTGATGATAGTGATGTGGGCGTCATGTGGGCTAGTATCATCTGTGTGAGAATTTGACACATGTTCTATGGTCTAGGCCAATGGTGGGCGTCATCTTGGTCACTCTAGGCGGGAGGTTGCTCGTACAACGTTAACAATTTTGAAACTTTATTTGTTCCTTTGCCGCGCCTTGTGTCTATATTACTAGTATTTGTTCCGTCAATGTGCACTGTGGCAAAAGTACCGAAGTAATTGTTTTTTATTATCGTTTTATTAATTTATCCAGGAAATACATGTCGCCTATTGGCGTTTTCACAAAGATTCCTGGGGGGATAACCCCAACATAAAATTACATGACATAATAATTACAATAAAAGAGTTTAAGATGAACTAGCAAAGGTCAATTAAAAATAGATAAACTCATCGTGAACAAGAAGAAATCGTAGCTAATAACTCATCATTTCGACACTTGCTATCCAGCGGTAAATGGCCTCCGAGCTCTGTAAAGCGAGTGCTGAGAAAAAATTAGCAGTACCGGCTACTAGTATCCAGTGATGAACGGCCTCCGAGCACTGGTAAGCGAGTGCTGAGGAATTTAGCACTGGAAAACGAGTGCCGAGTCAAAATTCAGCTCTGGAATTCCAGATCTGGCGGAGCTTCAGCACTGGAAAAAAGGCCGTTCAGCAATTCCTGTTTCCTTTATACGCACAGGGCCCCGAGTGCCGACACCACTTTCCCCGCGAGTGGGTGGCCAGTGAGGAATCCGTTACTTCGGTACCCTTGCTGCATTGTGTCTAACGTTATATCATCCCGCTCAACCATTCTGCGCAAAATCCATTTGTCCTGTGAACTGCAGTACAATTCGTAGACGATAGAGGACGCTAATGTCATGTAGGCTTTCGCCAGCTGGGAAACACGTGACTTCCTCTCGCAACCAAGATGGCGTCGTGGACGAAGATGTTTGCACTTTTCTCTCTCGTTTTGCTGTTTTTCTGCAGTTCAAATGGTTTGTTTGCAAATTTTATGTCTACTTTCTATTCCACAGTACTTTCTTTATACTCATGTGGCTTTTGAGGTTTCCTGGGCCCGTTGTTTTCAAGAAATTGGATGAAACCGTTTTACGTTTGGCCCCGCGTCGTTGTACGAAGTGCCACGTTTACAAGTTTGTTCGTGTAACGTTCCACCACAGTTTTGAAGTTTTTTTCCTGGCCTTTAGTTGGTTGAAGTGAAGCTATGTAAGGGGTCTAGCACAAAATTTTTAATTTGTTATTTCTGCCCCGCCTCAGAGTCTGTATTCCTGGGTAAAGAATGATGTACATTTTTGTTACGGAACGCACTTGTGTCTTGGGTGGGAGGGGGGCAAGATGTTCATGAAAATGTCTTGGTTTTGTTTAATTAATCTCTAATTTCATTGTTTAATTTGATGTTTAATTCAAATGTTTTGTCATAAGTTACCTTTGTTTGGGGTTTGGCCCTTTAAAAACCACCAAAGTTTCTAGCCTACCCTGCATATTCTTTGATTGTTACTCCGTGAAGGAGGTCAGGACCTCCGGACGGAGTGTTGTAATCGGCTGATTTTTCATGTTCGCAGTCAAAACACTGGGTTCTCTTTGTGTAATCGGCACGCAATTTTATACGCCGTCTGCGGGCATGCCCGTGTTGATGCACGAATGTGTATTTTTGCCGTTGCTGCTTTCGCGGTCAATGTAATATCGCAGACGCACCCCTACAATTACGAGGCGAATTGGAATGGTCCAGAAAAACGCGTTGTTTGGAATAGCAGTGGCGCAGAAAAACTTCATGCAGATACGGGGTGGTTTTTATAAGTGGTTCCAGATGTTTTGCCCATGGTTAAGAGATGCCAAGTTTTTTGGAAGATGTTCGCAGCCAAAACGCATTCTTCCGTACGTCGCATTTCTGTGTAATTTCGCATGTGGTGTTGCATTATGTCCGGGATGATGCACGTCTTTTTATTTTTACCGTAGATGTTTTGATATTGGAGTAAATGCATATTTTAGAAACATCCCTACTTTTACAATCCTGTGGAATAGGCCGTAGGTTTAGGCAGTTGTCTGGTAGCAGAGGTACTCATAAGCAGATATCCTGGTTATCTGGCCGCCGGTAGTAACACTCACGGTGCTTACCGCAACTGTTGCTGGAATTCCAGGCGCGCTTAATTAGGTACAGGCACGGTAAGACGGTGGGCATGTCTTTGTTACTAGACACGACCATGATAGTCCGATCTTTATATGAATGCAATGATTGTGTGTGTGTAATTAAAATGAACTTCGAACTTGAAGCACAGTATCTTTACACGCCCTGGGAGCAGTAATGGTAGTAGAATGGTTTATTATGACATGTCGCCATCTATATCACAACAGTGGCAGCCCGCAGGCTGAATTGATGATGTGATATTACACAGATTGACTGCACAAGAGCATTATATACATAACCTAAAATCGAGAGTCATTACATACACAACGATCGAAACAATTATAAAATAAGAATACATTAAAATCGGATAAAAATACATGTTATTTATCATATAGGGCAATATAAAAACAATTAAAATGGAATTACGTATTCAGTAAACGAACCATGTGCGGTACAGCACTCATTCTATAACGTTCGGTTCGACACTTGAGAATGTCCAGATTACCAGCAGAACGAGTCTGTCGGCAAGTAATGTTCATTCTGTAGGCGGTAGTAGGTGGCGGTATTGTTCAGACACAAGGAGTGATTTCGCAAACTTTAAAGTCAAGTTCGATCGTCTGGAGTGCAGAGATGGCAAACCGAGGTGTAAGCATGCTTCGGAGTAACGGGTGTAGTCATGTCCCATAATGATGCGGACCGCCCTACGCTGGATTCTCTCAATCTTATTGTTCAGCAGTGTTGTTAATCCCGGGTGCCCGACAGGGGCTGCGTACTCGGTAATGGGTCTTATGTAAGAAATGTACACAGTGACAAGGTCATCCTTTGCGATATGGAAATGCTTCAGTCTACGTAACAGGAAAAGTCGCTGACTAGCTTTGTTGTAGACGAAGTTGACAATGGATTTAGCTCTTTGTATGTTTTATGCTTGTGACGCGCCCTCATTGTATTAACCGTTGCCTAATCATAATGTCTGCACAGTAGGTCTGGCGTTGACGCTTGGGATTTTGTTGAAATATATAAAACTTCACGGAGGATTGTCACCTATGGCTTCTTGTTATTATTTGATTGTGTAATTTTTTTTATATACGTGCAAATGGTAAATACAAATATACAAATTATTTAATCTTTTGGACTTTGCTGCGATGCTTGTTGTAATGTTCGTTACACGAACGGAAATGTTTCACCATCTTAATATCAACGTCGACATATTTCCCAAGCATCTACCAGGCTTCAGAAGTGGATGGAAAGACTAGAAAATAATTAGCCAATATGTAGTAGTCTGGCATGTTACTAGCCTGGGTGCAAGACCCATAGCACACTGGACATAAAGTATCTCACTGAGTCCAGTGTGCTATCAGGGCTCGAAATTAACATTGTCCCAGTGTCAAATGACACTAAATTTTTGGGACAATTCAAATTACGTTTCGGGACAATTTTGGGGCAATTGGAAAATTCTAAGACCATCCACGTCATTTGGGAACGCGATCCATCCATCCTGCTGCAGACTGCTGGCAGCCTATAAATATATAATACTCTGACAAACATTTAAATTTGACCAATCAGGGATTCCAAATATCAGGGACGGTGCCATGCCCATGATATTATCATGTATTTCCCTACATTTACTAATAAAGTGGACTTCAAGTTGTACAAATTCAGTTGTTGTTTTCTTATTTTTGTCATCAACTTATTTTCTGAAAAGCAGGCTAGGACAGTCCATCTTCAGTTCGGGACAATTGAAATCTATGTTCGGGACAATTATGGGACAATAGTGAAAAAAGTTAATTTCGAGGCCTGTGCTATGGGTTGCCTGATGGAGGTATAAGGGAGGTACCGGTAGTCCCCAAAACATCACAGCAGGGGGTCTGGTATTCATCCTGAAAAAGGGTTCAAATCACAGCGTAGGGGGTCACTATGCTCAAATAGCCAGTGGAACTATGATATATGAGAAATAATTTTTGCCCCCCCTCCCCCAACAGCCCAAACATGTGTGGGCCCCACCGTAGAGGCTACCTCATTCACCTCCGCGGAGGCTAACCTGGCCATGGAGACAACCTTCCTGGTGGAGTTCACCCTCTCCTGCAAGAACGCAGCCAAGGTAGGGGACAAGAACAGGTTTCTTCAGGTGTACCAGTCTGCTGGAACTAGTTTGGAATTGTAAAAATGTTTAGGTTCAAATAACCTGACCGTCTGGAAGTAGTTCGGAACTTCAAAAAAAAAAGTCATGTCACTCCCGTTTCTGTTGGATACCACCTGAAATCTTCAATAGTCAAAAATGAAGAGAACATTGCTATGGGCATCGTCAAGTGTTGGCTTACGTAAATTATGTGGCCACCGTTTTGTCCAGATGTGCCCCGTAAACAAGTTAAAACAACATACATGTATCTTGCTTCTAAGCCCTGGTAGTGCAGTGCTCGCTACAATTTTTCCTCCTTTTTCAATGGGAATGTTAACTGTGAACAGGGGTGCCAAAGTATACCGTGCAATTTTATGGTATACAGTGCAATTTTACTAGTATACAGTGCAATTTTACGGAATACAGTGAAGCCTCTTCTGTATATGCTCTGGGTTTTGGTCCGGAGTACTAACCTGAACCTAAACCTCTGGACTTGAATCTGGACCTGGACCTGAATGTGGGTTTAGGTACACAGCACTAGACATGAAATTGAATATGAAACTCTGGTTTTGCTATGATCCAGTATATGGACATGCAACGTTTGTAAATGGATCCCGTTGTTTTCTTCCAATCAGGACCTAGTTCTGCACGCAGACATCGGAGACCGTCAGTTCCCGGTGAGCCGCAGCGCCGACGGGATGCGCTACCAGATCAGCTGGACTGCCGAACACAAGCAGGCGCCCGCCGGCAGCTACGAAGTCAGGTTCTTCGACGATGAAGGATTCGCCGCACTCAGAAAGGTAAACTGTTACTCTTCTCACAATCCTATAATTAGGCCACACCAATTTAATTTCTTGTTTCTAGGATTTTTTCAGAGAAAATATGAAGCAACAGGTCAAAATATATAAAAAAGAAACAGGGCAAGGCACCCCATGATAGCCGGAAATGTTACAATATGAGCCATGAAGTGAACATACCAGGCTGGTTTATAATTAAAACAATAGATTTTGAACTTTTCATGAAACAAAGTTGCATTGTTACATTGTAAAAGAAAAGAAGAAAAGGACTTTCTTTAACCACTGGGGCCAAAATATGTCTTTCATTGAGCACTTTGTGGTTGATTTAGAACCTCAAAAATTTTGTTTGCTTTTTTTTGCAAGTCAGAAAAAAATGGTCAGGGCGAATCCGAGAAACAACAAATTAGATTGGCATGGCCTTAAATAAAGTGGTTGCCCAGTCTGCTTAACTCTGCTCAAGACAATCGTACTGTAACATCAGGTTTCCCTTTGAGTAAACGTTTTCATGTGTTTCAGGGTTTGCGATGATTAAATGTGACAAAACATGATATAACACCATATGTATGATTAAAATTGTTGGATGACTGCAAAATAAAACCACTGTGCAACCTAATTTTTTTTACCCAGGTTGCCTCATGCATATGTGATTTTTTTCTCTTTTGTTTTCAGGCCCAGAGAAGTGACCAGGATGTGAATGCTGTCAGCTCACTCTTCACCATAACAGTTCATCACAGGGTCAGTAGGGGGAGCAATTATCACTTCCAGAGATATGGGGTAGTTAACATCCCCTAGCAAAGTAGTGCTAACACTGGCAAGGCATTTTCCTACCCCCCCTAAAAACATGACAACTGTGACAGGAAAAATGCCTTTTCCAGCATTTTCCTTTCAATACTACTGTACTTGATCCTTCAGTCTTTTTTTAGGATTGGTCAAAAAGCTGTTGGTGTTTAATATCTACCTCATTTTATCTTGGATATACTGAGACACCAAAAATATGTACCTGTTTTTATTTTAACCATAAAAAAAGTAGATGATCTAAGAATGTCCAAGGATAGAAGAACTTTGGTTCGGTCAGTGGCCACTGGCCAGTCTCTCCATATCCTTCCAGTTCATATTTACTGTTTGTACATGTAGGTAAACTTGATTGTATGTAGTTCATTTGGGGGTGCCTCTTTTTCCCTTGGTCTCAGGTTTAAACTTGCCAAGACATCCAAACAAGAATCTTCTATCAACAGCTTCTAGTGAACTGTTCATAACTTCAACTTTATTCAGTGGGAACTTGAAGCAACTTTGATCATTTGCTTAGGAACTAATTCTGTATTTCTTCTATCTATATTTGTGAAGAAAGGTGCTCTTGTGTGTCTCTCTGTTGTACAGTCTACAGTGAAGAATACACAGGTTTTAAACCAAGAGCCAAGAGAGATGAACTGTACTGTCTGTCCTGTAACTCTGTTAATGGTTGCAGGATTCGTAGCACAGAAACATTGAAATATGTTTTCACCCTTCATCTAACCTTCTCCCTGTTGCCATACCTCTTAACTTATGCACAATTGGTGCCTTTTAAGACTATTTTTGCCGGGAAAAGGTTAAAAGGGTAAGCAGAAGCTCTTATTTTGACCCTCTTGTTTTAGATCTCATGAAAGCCAGTTAGCACAAAGCATACTGTAGACCAAATCCCCTCCTTCGCAATGACGTAATCGCGAGGGTTAAGAAGTAGGTCAACGTTCACGTGTTCGCTGCAATTTAATCTTGGTCTGACTCGTTGTCTTTCTCTGTCTTGTTGTTGTTGCTTCTATCTCCTATAACAGTTTACATTGACATAATCTTCGACAAGACGAAGGAGGTCGTTTAAGGAAAGAAGTTGGAATAGACGTCAGAGAAAGTACCGAGACCAAACGCACGAATGTTGACAAAGTTCTTAAGAACTTCACGATAACGTCATTGCGAAGGCGGGGATTTAATCTACAGTATGATTTGTCCTAGCCACAACTTTAAGTGGCTGGCAGCGCTCTAAACTACGAAGGACTACCAAACTAAGTGTAGAAATCACTTTTCAGACATACCATTCGTAACATAATGACAGATTTTATCGAAGCTCTTGTATCCCTTTAAGCATGGCATTTAGCATGTGTCTCACACTATCGTAACCTCGGCGTATTTTTGCTCCAGGGCGTGTCCCAGGGTCCTTGGGCCAGCTCGCCGACCGTTGCCGCCGTTGCTGCGTTCGCCGTCTGGCTGTTCGCCTACAGAGCCAAGCGACAGATCCAGGATTGAACGCCGACACACCAGCCAATGGGAAAACAACGTCTTTTACACCAAGAGTGAACAAATAAAAACTTTTAATACCATTCGCTACTCTGTAACTGTATGTGTTTTTATTTTTTTTATTCAAAGATCTTGAAACAAAGACATAGTCTTCTTCAGACAAGGATGGAATTTTTTGCTTAGGCCTGGGAAAAAAAGAAGTTTTTTCCTGATTCAGTCTTGAAAAAAATTAACGTTAAAGAACCCACCGCACTTATCGAAAAGAGTAGGGGACCTTCCCTGTGTGAGTGGTTCAAACCATACTGTCCAATCTTACACATCTTGTACTTTACACGTATAAAACTAGTGTGTTACGCCTATAAAGGCGGTTACCGGTTATGTGAAACAAAAGAATATCTCTTTTGCACACCAAGCATATTTGAGAGGTCTTTGCTCTTATGTAACTTTTGTACATTCAAGCTGGTGCCTTATATAAGTGTCAACCCTTCACTTATGTAAGCTTCCCATTTGGAAATCCTTTGATGCTTTGTTATCTTAAATTACATTTGTAGCCTTTTAGCAACGATTGACGTCATATTTTTACTCTTGGACACTGATGAAAGGGTTTCGAGTTCTTGGATATATGCCTTGCAGTGATAGATAGGCCACAGCAAGTAATTTTTAAGGATGACATCAGCATGTGCATTGATTTTCGCCTGATTTCGGAAAAAAAAAGAACTTTTGTTGCCCTTTGACAGTGGTCAACATGCCAAAAATGGGCAAAATGGCATGCCTTGCCATGCTGGAACGTGGATGGGAGACAAACATGAAGAGAGGAGACAAGACAAGGCTCTGATTTATTGTTTTGTCTTTTACTTTGATGCAATGATGTATTTCATTCCTTTTATATGTTCCCACTGAATCAAAACCATTTGTACAATGATTGAAAAATTTTCCTTTTTCAAAGTTGTTTCAGTGACAAATGGATGATATAATAGTTGGCAGTATAGTTAGCACAATATAGGTATCATTTCTTGTTTAACAGGGTTCATGACGTAAAAATGTCAAAATATAGGAGTCTTGTTTTTTTCGCCCTATCGCATTACATTTGGAATCTGCGGAGGATGCCATCCATAAAATTTATTTACTGTGGCCTCACGTCTTCATTCTGGATGAGGCACCCCACTTCCTGAGTGCCCATCGGTACTTAACTGATTCAAGAATCGCCCACCGCAGGCTTAGAACCATTACAAGATCTAGAACCATTACATGAAGCGCAGTTTTATTTGAACTAACCTGTGAGTTGTCTTCAACTCTTCCCCCTTCCTAAACTCCCCCCCCCACTTTTCCTCCTTCCTCATTCACCATGCAAATGAAGACGACACCAACAATCACACAAAGAGTTGTACTAAACAGCCTCCAGTTTAATTCCGGACTTCCAGTTTAATTCCGGACTTCCAGTTTAATTCCGGACTAATTCCCATATCCCAGCAACTTTACATCTAGATGGGCTAATACCGTATATCGTAGCCTTCAAGAACCCCTTAGGGATTAACCCAATTCTGCAGAATTCTGAACAGAAGTCAGAATTCTGTGAACTGGAGGCAGAATTCTGTGAACTGGAGCCAGAATTCTGGGAAGGATTCTGCAGAATTGGGTTACTGTAATCCCTAAGGGGTCCTCGATGACCGCTACATACTTTTTACATCATTTTTACCTATAGTTTACGATATTAGCCCATCTAGATGTAAGGTTGCTGAGATATGGGAATAAGTCCGGAATTAAACTGGAAATCCCGAATTAAACTGGAGGCTGCAGGCTGTTATTAGTACTCCATGGATGTGTGGCACCTCAGAATTCTTGTTTTTATCGGGTTTTTCTTCGATTGGCGTGGTGGATACTCTCCAAGCAGAGGTTGTGGGGAATGATCGTTACCTTTTTATATATGGCCGTTTTTGTTGTTGTCCTGATCCTCACCAACGGTGGCTAACCCCGTCGGTGGCTAATGGAGCTTCTTTGGCTAATGGATACTGTCTTGCCAATTTGATACTGTCTTTTTGCCACCGAGAGGGATCTGCTTGGAGATTAGTAGTGGATATTGCCCTGCCTTTGATACTGCTTGGCCAATTTGATACTGTTTTGCCGCCACCAAATGATCTGCTTGGATGATCCACTTACAGCGCACCATCAGTTCATTAGAAGTTTAGCGTCAGTGCTGTTTCAAAGCTGCTTTGAAAACCAGAACTTTGATGCGGCTTTTGTAGAGGCCTCTATGATGTTCTAAGAGATTAGATAGAGTGGACAGTAGACCTCAGGTGTTCCTTTCGTTTGAGCCGTGCTTTGGAAAACGTGATCTAAAGACCAAAATGTTTCTGAAGTATGAGACGACGTCATTAGCGCGTTAGTTAACGTCAGTGCAAGTTGCTATGGTTCTTCCTTCTGGAGAGAACATATTTTAAAATTTATCTTTCAAAAGTTATGCTTTAAACGTATGTTCGTTATAAGCCAGACTCAATATGTCATTATGTGGTGTTCGTAGTTATTCATATATATATATTGAGTATTGGGCAAAAAGCAAAAGTTGCTTAGATAACACCTTCTACTCAAAACATACAACGAGTATAAAACACATTGACAAGGTACATGCATAATTACAAGGTGGGTAAAACCAATTGCAAGTACAAGCAAGACAAGTTGGTGATCTATCAATTACGAGAATCTACCCGTACAGTAAATGAAGTTTTGAACTACATCAAAAACATTACAGTTTTGTAGGTGTGAAAGTGATGTGGACGAAGTAGTAAGGAACATAGGGAACTGGCTGTCATTGATATGCTGTAGCTCTACTATGATAACAGAGTACTTCTTTGACTGGAATAAAGGGCTAAAGGCACATGATCGGTGGCATGTCGGTGGCATCATGTCGGGACTCGAACCCGGGACCTCTTGGTTCCGAGTCGCGCACTCTGCCGCTACGTCACACGGCCCCCCACCACACTTCTTTTTTTTTTCGCGCTCTCGCATTAGATTTAGGGCCTCCAGAGCACGTCATCCATAAAAATTACTTGGTGTGGCCTAACACGTAACAAGAGGCTTGTATGTAGCGGTTATTGACCTGCTGCATTCTGAACTAGAGTTCCCCGATCTCATACCTTCGCCAAATGATGTTAATATTTATGACTGACAAATTATAGATTATTCCCCCCGGATTTAACAAATAGGATCCTCCTTCTCATGAATTATATCCTTTTATCATATTCTCAACCAAACGGCAGTCTTATATTAACAATGCCATTCTAGCATTTCCTCATAAATTATGCAAATGAGGTCCTGATTTGAATACATTATGCCATCTACCAGAGATAAGCTGTAACTGTTATGTAGCGGTCATTGACCTGCCGCATTCTGAAAAATGCCAAGGTAGTGAAATGATCATCAGATCTCCAAGCAGACTTACCGGTGGCATTACTAGTATTACTAGTATATGTCAAGAAGATATATTACAGCCATCTACCAGAGATAAGCTGTAACTGTTGTGGTGTATCTAAAGGCATCCAATGTGATTTCAGGGCAGCAAGACTGGAAACATTCTGATTAAGGCAATCTTTGTGACATTGACACATACTGCTACAAATTGGCACATTTGAGTCAGCATTTCATACTTCGGGCATTTAAAACTGCAGAAACAAGCCCCAAGATGAGTCCTTTATTTTCTGGGTGGTACCCTAAAATCAGCCCAGGTCCCTTCCAGTAAACATTATTTTCCGCCAGAATTTTGGGAATTTTTGCTCCATGAGGGTCGATAAACATTAGGACAGTGTGGTTTCAACTCACTATGTAGATAAATGACTAGAATATTGGCTTTGAAAAATCGGGGTTTCAATGCGAAAAAACTGCATTGGATGCCTATAAGGCCACATCAAGTCATTTTTATGGATGACGTCCTCAGGAGACCCTAAATCTAATACAAGAGTGCGAAAAACAAGATGCCTAGATTTTAAATACATGTATACTAAGGGACGACAAATGCTAGGACACACACACATGAGAGAATACAGTGTAACAAACAACGATAATAATAATAACCTTTATTGTACATTCATGCCCTATCGGGCTAAGTACAGGTGAACAGATGAAATAGGTAATATACATGTTTGTAGTACAAACAGCTCTAAAACTACTCTAATACAGAGGTTCGACTTCTTCTCGTTTCTTTGTGATGTTAAAAATATAATTTGAAATGGGTTTGTTTAATACAGGATGATCAAAGTGCATAAGAAAGATAATTTTTTTCAATATTGGAAGTATGGAAACGTACTTCGTCATGAAAACAGCAATATGTCAGTGGAACAGCAGGTGCCGTCCTGTCCTGTTTCCTGCCTTTAATCATGATAACCTTTGTTGTACATTCATTTCGGGTTAAGTACAGTTAAAAGTCAGGCCCTGAAAATCAATGCGCGGACGCCATTCATGAAAATTACTAGGTGTGGCCTAACTAGAATCAATGGGCTGGCTTTGATACTTTTCTACAAACTCTGTTGATTGGTGATATTATACATCTTGTGCATCAGAAAACCCCAAATGCACAAAAAGCACCCATGGGAAACAGAAGAAAATA